CCTCCTCCTCCTCCTCCTCCTCCTCCTCCTCCTCCTCCTCCTCCTCCTCCTCCCTCTTCCTCTTCGAGGGTGTGCGGAGTTTGCTAGATACATCGTTTATGTCACTCTGCTTTCTACGCTGGTCTCCTCTTCTCCTCTTCACAATTATTCAATATGAAAATACTCCCCCTCTTCCCCTGATGGCGTCCGGGTGATGGCCGCGCACCCTCCGCGTACTGTTTTTTTACACACAGGATTCCCGGGAAATCCCGGGAAACGACTCTCGCTGAGGCGCCGGCGTCATTTTTTCCCAAAATGCTGCTCTCGTTGAGGCGCCGGCCTCATTTCTGCTTCGAATCGTTCCGAATCGTGCTCCCGCTGCAGCGTGGGCCTCATTTTCGGATCTGTGTTTGGCCTCCGTCGTTCAGAATGGCGTTCTCGCCCCAGCGCGGGCCTTTTCCTCGCGCGCCCATCCGCCCGCCACCACCGCGCCGCACCGCCACCACCACCACCACCACCACCACCACCACCACCACCACCACAACCACCACCACACCACACCACCACCACCACCACCACACCAACCACCACCACCACCACACCACCACCACACCACCACCACCACCACCACCACCACCACCACCACCACCACCACCACCACCACCACCACCACCACCACCACCACCACCACCACCACCACCACCACCACGACAACCACACACGCACGCACGCACGCACGTGCACCACCACCCACTACGCACGCGCGCGCGGAGCCACAGGTCCGCTACGACACGCGTCCGCGGATAGAGAAAATCAGCGCCATGGTAAGGGATGGGAGGGAGAGGTAGGACGTCAGATATGACGCGAGCGCACCTAGCTTGTCTTCTTCTCCTCTCCTCCTCCTCCTCCTCCTCCTCCTCCTCCTCCTCCTCCTCCTCCTCCTCCCTCCTCCTCTTCGAGGGTGTGCGGAGTTTGCTAGATACATCGTCAGTGTCACTCTGCTTTCCACGCTGGTCTCCTCTTCTCCTCTTCTCTTCTTCTCCTCTCCTCCTCCTCCTCCTCCTCCTCCTCCTCCTCCTCCTCCTCCTCCTCCTCCTCGTGTCGGAGGGGAGGCGCCTTGCAAGGTCCCAGAGTTTCTGTGATGATCGCCCTCACTTCCGCATCCAGCTGAAGAAGAGACAGCGAGCTCGGACCGTGTGGCGACTGGCTGTTCCGGCAGCTGGCCTGCGAGCGGGGCGTTGCATCGGCGATGCGGCGCGATCCGCCGACCCCAGCTGGGAGGCACCCATCCAGCCAGCGCAGCGGTATCGGTGCCATGTTGTTCCTGTGCGCGCGGCGGCAGCCGGCGGGGTTGTGTATACGCGCCCCTCCCCGCTTGCGCCGTCTCGTCTATTGTGCCCTCCCTACTGCTCGTCCTTCTCTGGCCAGAGGAGCAAGAGGTCATGGTAAGGATTCTACAGGCTTGCGCCACATCCGCCGAGCCCTTTGAGTCGGTGTGTGCCTCGGTGTTCTCTTGGATCGTGCAGGGCAGGGGGTCCTGCGGGTCTTTTGGGATCTGTTTTGGACCGATCTGTGGGCGACTCGGAGCCCTCTTGGACCGTCTTTAGGGTGTCTCTGGGGCCGTCTTCAGGGCGCCTGCCGGCGGCCAGAGAGGTCTTCTGGGGGCGGAGCGTTCAGAAAGTCAGGTCAGCGGAGCAATAGATCATGATAATGAGCCGCTCCGGGGTGCAGGCCGTAGTTTGGCATCACTTGGTATCTCTTGGAAGCGAGGGTGGTCAAAAGCGAGGTAGGTTTGTTTGCCCCCTAAATAGAGCATGATAGTGAGCCGCTCCGGGGGTCCCAGGATCTCCCCGTGCTCCGCACGGGCCGCAGCAGCGAGGGCCGCCAGATGCTCCAGAGAGCTCCCGGGGCGCACCCCGAGCCGCTCGCAGCCATTCATGGCATCATGCTCGTCCCATCTCTGGCCTTACGTCGGGCACGTCCCTCTACAGGAGGAATCTTCGAGACTAGTAAAACATAATCTGGGTGCGAGTTCGTCGGTTGATTTTTGACCATTTGGGGGCATTTTGGGGGGTATGTTTTTTACCTGTCGTCCAACATCCCCCTGCAGGCGGACGTGCCCGGCCCATCTCTGGCCTGGGCCCCCGCAGCCATTTTGGCCCACGGGGGGCGAGGTGGGCAGCGGGAGGGCGCCCCACCCCCCCGACGCGGGGCATGGCTGGGCCGCCGGGGATGGCGTGGCCCCCGCGCGCCCGGCGGCGGGCCCGGCGGCCCGCGGCGATGGCCGCGCTGCTGGGGGGCACCGTGGAGGTCGACGATGCCGAGGAGGCCCAGGAGCCGCTGGACGTGCCGGAGGAGGACGAGCAGGCGGAGGAGGAGGAGGAGGGCCTGGCGCCGTCCCTGGAGGTGGCCGCGTGGAAGGGCAGGCGGGCCGACGTTCGGCACTACCTGCGGCTCGGGGCGGACCCGAATGCCATGGTCACCGAGGAGCAGAAGGGGAAAAACACACAGACACAATGAATCGTCGATCCCTTAGAAAATATGGGAAAATGTGGGGAGTGGGGGGGAAGACAAAAACCCATAAAATCTGGGACATTATGGGGAATCTGGTTATTTGTTTGTATTTATCTGTGTGTCCCAGTTCCCCTTCAGAGGAGGAGGACACCATGCTGCACCACACCGCGCTCATGGCCGCCGCTGCCGCGGACAGCCTGGACGCAGTCGTGGAGCTGCTCCTGGCAGGCGCCGATCCAGATCTCCCCTCGCCGACGGGGGTCATCGCCGCGGACCTCGCGGGAGACCGCGGCATCATGAAGATCCTGGCGCTCGTCTCCACCGAGGTCGAGGCGGAGGCGAAGCGCGCCGCCCTCGCCTCGCCCGACGCCGACGCCGAGGAGATCCGGCGGCGCGCGCTGGGCACCGTGAAGGGCAGGGGCCTCGACCTGCTCCGGAGGGTGCTGAAGCCGGGCTCCCTGCTGAAGTTCCTGCAGCCCGAGCCGTCGCCGGAGCCGCAGCCCGCGGCGGAGGAGGAAGCCGCCACGGGCCTGAGCGCGCGGGAGGCGCGCAAGCAGCGGGCGGAGGCCGCGGAGCGGGAGCGCCTGAGGAAGGTGGCGGAGCGAGCGGCGGCCCGGCGGAGCGAGGACCAGGAGGAGCTGGAGAGGCAGCGGCTGCAGCGGGTCGCGGAGAAGGTGGCCGCGCGCCGGGACCTCGACCCCGAGGAGGCGCGGCTGGCGAAGATCGCGCAGGGGGCGGCCCTGCGGAGGCAGGTGAGCCTGCGGCCGCAGAGGGGCGCGGAGGAGCTCTCCGCCTGCACGGCCCTGGCGCTGCTCCCCGAGGACCAGGGCCGCCCGAGCGTCGAGCGCAAGAAGACGAGCGAGTACGCGCAGTGCCACCACTGCGGCCAGAGCGGGCAGCGGAAGGAGTGCGGCGCGTGCGGCGAGATGGGCATGTGCGGCTTCTGCAGCATGTGCTCGAAGTGTGGCCGCGTCTCTGGCTTCTGCGAAAGGCCAGAGGTGCACGCGAGGCCCGGCATGTACGGCTTGTCTGGCATGCCGAACCTCTCTGGCCTGTCCGCGGAGGAGCTGAAGGCCTTCGAGCCCCCCGCCGGGTCGCCCACGGCAGATGGCAAGTCGAAAAAGAAAAAGAAGAAGCGGAAGCGCAAGGGGGGCTCGAGCACGGGCGACTCCTCCAGCGGCCTGGAGTTTGTCGGGGCCCCGAAGGGCTCGCCGAAGGAGGGTGACAGCGACGCGGAGGAGACGTACGGTATTTACTTCGTGGACAACAGGGAGTACAAGGCTCCCAGCCAGGGCATGGCCTTCCGGTACAGCAAGAACCTGACGGACACCGTCAAGGACATGCGCAAGTTCGCGGCGTGGGGGACGACCCTCACGGGCTGGGACCAGGGCGACGGCTGGCTGAAGGTGGGCGAGTTCTTCCTGCCATTCCTGCTCGAGGGCAAGAGGGTGCTCACCTTCAAGGGCTCCGCGGAGGAGGCCATGAGGCCCGGCCTGAAGAAGCAGAAGCCAGCCCTCGAAGCGCCGCGGTCGCCCGCGGGCGTGGAGCTCTGACCCCCCCCCCCCGGCAGCGCCGTGGCGCGGGAGGGCGCCGTCCGCCCTCTTATACCAGGAGGGGGGCCGAGGCGCAGGGGGAGCGGTGACGGTCAGAGGGCCTGCCCGCGATGACTCCTTGCCTCGGGCCCTTGCACGCACGAGCTCTGCTCGGCCGCGGCACCAGTGACACGGCGGGCAGCTCGAGCACCGACGGGCTCCCGTCTTCCCTGCGTAGGGGAACGAAGCATGACATAAGCATAAGAACTCGGAGGTCCGCGCGGATTTCTCGGATCGGCACTGGGCCCCCCTCCCTGGCGTACAGAGCGCGCCAGGGGCGGCGCTGGAGGCGCCGCCAGGGGGCCCCAGCGCCGATCCGAGAAATCCGCGCGGACCTCCGAGCTTTTGCGTTTCCGTCGTGCTTCGTCCCCCTCACCGGTGACACGGCGGGCAGCTCGAGCACCGACGGGCGCCCGTCCTCCCACGTGGCCCTGATGACGCCGGCCACGGTCGGAGGCGCCGCTGCCCGGATCCGCGCGGCCTCGCCGCGGGCGTGCCTGCGGGAGTCCGCGGGGGCGCCCGGCTCGCCGGGGCCTGGTCTCGCAGGCCCGGGGCGGGCGCAGGGGCGCCAGCGCGCGGAGAGCGGTGCGGGACCAACTTTTCGCCGGCGGGGGCGCCTGTCCCAGGGCGGCTGGAAAGTCCATCCCCCCGCTCTGCCGCCGTGGGTCACCGAGCGCGCTCCACGGCTCGCAAGGTGCCTGCTCGCAAGCGTCCGAGAAGAACCTATATATACGTGTGCCTCGATGTGGTGGATCGTGGGCCCCCCGCGGCGAATCCAGGCCATTTGCGAGTAGTTGCTTTTGCGAGTCGTGGGAGGCGCTCGTCTAGTGGGGGCCCGGTTCAAGAGGCTGCGGAGAGGAGAGGGTGCGAGCACACGCAACAGACAGAGGGGGCAGTGCTAGACAACCGCTGTGATGCGTGCCGTTGCCCTCGGCGCGGTGCTCGAGCCGGCCAGGGGTCAGCCGCGTGGGGACGTGGAGCCCAGGCATACGACGTCTTTTGGGGAACGAAGAATGACATCAACATAAACCTCGGAGGTCCGCGCGGATTTCTCGGATCGGCGCTGGACCCCCCTGGCGGCGCCTCCGGTGCCGCCCCTGGCTCGCTCCGCGCGCCAGGGAGGGGGCCCGAGCGCCGTTCCGAGAAATCCGCGCGGACCTCCGAGTTGTTATGTTTATGCCACTTTTTGTTCCCCTAGTCTTGTGTTTTTTTCAGGACGGCGTCCCTGGAAGTCCCGACCCTTCCCCCGGGGCCGGTTTTGTCGTCCCGAGTCGTTTTTGGACGGCCCCGAGGCACGGCGAGGGCCCCCCCTGGGGCCGAAAACAGCCAACAGCTCCCCGTCCTGATCTTTCATCAGGGGGGGAAAAGCACACACACAGACACAATTATTCGTCGATTCCCAGAACATATGCGAACATATGGGAAGTGGGGGGGAAAACTGAAACCCAGAAAATATAGGATAGTATGCGGAATCCTTCTATTTGTGTGTGTTTATTTGTGTGTCCTGGGGCCCCTTCATGATCTTTCAGCGACGCGATCATGTCTGGGGTCGTACCCTGCGGCCTCGTTGCAGGTCTGGTCGCCTCGTCAACGGGGATCTCCGTGGCCTCGCGGTGGCGTCGCCCGAGGCTCGCTGGAGATCTGTTCCAGTGGCTCACGCCACGCCCCGCCGACTCCTTGGGAGAGTTCCGGGTGCTGTTTCGGGGGGGTGTTGTCGCAGAAGCTTGCTGATGCCGCGCGTCACTCTGAGAAACCCAAACTCGTCTTGAAAAGAGGCTATATTGGGTCGGCTCGGAGCCCAGGGCTGAACCTAAACGCTGTTTTGCTGGATTTCGGTTGTGTTTTTTTTTTGAGGGGGGTGGCAGGGAGATACAGGAAAACAGGTCGAGCAAAACGAACAACAAAACGAGCACACAACGAAAAACAACGCTTAGGTCCAGCCCTGTCGGAGCCCTCTTGGGGGCCTCTTGGGGGCCTGTGGGTGTCTCTCTTGGTTTCTCTTGGGGGCATGCTGGGGGTCTTGGGGGCGAGCTTGCGGGGGAGGGCTCCCAGGGCCCCTTGGGGTTCCCCCTCTCGGCCTCCTCCTGGGGGTCTCCTGGGCTGTCCTGGGGGGCCTCTTGGGTTCTCTTGGGGTGGGGCCTTCTCGGGTGCCTTTTTGATGCCGTCTTGGTGCAGTCTTGGCAGCCTCTTGGGCTGCCTTGGCACCCCGAGGATGGGAAAGGCGAGCACATCAGACATGCAGAGGCACCTCAGGACAACGGGCGATGTTTGCCTCTTTGGGGCCTCTTGGGAGGCCTCTTGGGGGCCCTCTTGGGCCCCTCTTGGAGGGGGTGGTCTTGGGGGCCGCGGGGGGGTCCGTCTTGAGACTGGCGTGGGCCGTCTCGGGGGGGGTTCCTCTGGGGCCGCCTCGGGGCCCTCTTAGACGGTCTTGGGGCCCTCTGGGACAATTTTTTAGCGCACCTGGCAGGAGGGTCCGGCTATGACCCAGCTCCGCCTCCCCCTCATCCCGCCCCGCTCGCTCCCCCGCCTGCTCCCCCCACCCTTTCCCCCCACCCCCTCCCCTGTACCCCGCTCCACCACGAGTTGTTATCGGGCCCGCCCGCCCGCCCCCTCCCCCCCCTGGAGAACTTGACCTCGTCGGTGGCGCAGGTCCGAGGGGTGTACGCAGTGCTGGTGCGCGCGGGCATGCCTGGGGCTGCCCACAGAGCGAGAAGGCTAGGTGATCGGCCAGCACCTCCCTTCCCCCCTGGGATCGCCCAGGTTCTCGCCGAAATTTAAATCGGTCGCGAGCCTGGGGGGAAGTGAGAAGGACAAGACCTTCTCAGCAGGCTCTGAGGTCCCTTGCCTTCTGAGAGGGTTTCTGAGGCCTTCCCGGAAGACGTAGAACACTTCGCAGAAGGCGCGAGGGCTTCTGAGAAGTCGTCCCGCCGCCTTCTGAGAAGGCCTTCTCCTCCTCACTTCCCCTCCCCTCCCTCGCCGCCCAATCCAAAAAACGGTCTCCCCAGCGCCTGTGGAGCAGCTGAGTCCGCCAGGGCCGGGGCCGCGGCCGCCCCGGGGGCCGCCTGCCGTGCCCCCTCCGCAGCCTCCGGGCCGGCTGGGCTTGGCGTCTGCACTCGCAGCGAACACATCGCAGCGGGCAGTCTTCGGCGGTGTTCGGCTTGCGGGGGGTCTCGCCGGGGCCGTCCATGAGACGACGCGGGAGGAAGCGCCGGTCCCAGGAGAGGGCTCCAGACATTCGGGGGTCCACGTCGTGGCCAACACCGCGACGTGGGGCATCTGGGCTTGAGGAGGGGCAGCCCTCTCACACGCCGAAGATTCCCCAAGGCGTCGGTGAATATCTGCTTGTTCGGCTCGGGCTTTGGGGACGCGAGTTGCTAAAGTGGCTGCGGGGAGGAGGCGGAGGGCAGGCAGGCATATTCAGAAGAGACCGTCCCGGAGCGTTCTGGAGCGCTCTCGGAGCGTTCTGGGGCGCTCTGAGACAGCCGTGGCGCCCGATAAATCCTCCAGGCCCACCAGCATGTAGAGATGCCCGAGTCACCCTCACCCGAACCTGTCCCCACCCTGCCTCGGCTTCAGGAGGCAGCGGATCCGCGATGCTGACGGGGCGCCCGCCTTCGTCTCCGTCACCGTGGCCGTCCTCATCGCAGCAGTTGCTGTCGTCGCCTCCTCTGCGCCGCCACGGCGCGGGCTTCCCGACAGGCTGACGCCACCGATGCCACGGCCTCCGGGGGCCCGGGGCCCCCGCCTCGGGGAGGCCCCCGGCCCCCGAGGCCGACTCTTGCCGATCCGACGGCGCAGCCGACTTTTGCCGATTCTTGCCGACTCGATGCGCGCGCCGATCCGATGTGTTTCCTCGGCCCAGCGCTGGGGCCGCCTGCGCGTGCAGCCGCGAGCGTGCCGGTAGCGGTGGTGGCCGTCGGGCCTCGCTGCGGGGCCGCCCGCCCCGCAGGCAGTGCCCTCCGCCCCGCCCCGCCCGCCGCGAGGACGTCCTGCGTCGAGTGCCCCTCGAGCGCGCCCGCCCCAGCCGTCGGGGACACGCAGCCACTGCCGTGCAGTCAAGACCCGTACGGTCGGGAGGTTCTGGTTACAGCGTGTCGCGCCGCCAGTGCTGGGTCACCACGCCTCGGCGCGATGCGCTGTCCACGTCTCCGCTCTCGAGCGTGAACAGTCCGAGCCTCTCCCAGCTGCCCGTGACCTGCGGATCGGAGCGACCTGCGGTTCGCTGGCAGGGCATGCCGTCTCGCATGGGGCCGCCGCCGCGACACGCTGATCAAAAGCAACAGCTCCTGACCGCAGTGAGGGCCAGTCGTTTCCCCTGGGGTTCTTGCACATTCTCAGGCGTTTCGGCCTTGCGCTGTTCAGAGCGCGTCAGCTGCGGGGTCCAAGGGTCTTGCGGCCCTTCCACACATCCTCGCTATGTACGTATACATATTCCTCTTCCTATATTTTTATAAGCCCGGGCGGGGGGAAAACCCGTCACCCCCCCCCTCAAAAAAAACCGGACTCCCGGGACCTGGGTAATTGGGGCCCTCCGGACGGGCCTCGAAGCGGCCACTGGGCATCGCAAGGCGTTTTGCCAAGCCTTCCCAGCACACTTAGGGCGATCAGGGGGGTCATCGGAGACGTCCCAGAGACCCCCCAGACAGCACAAGAGCGCTCCAAGAGTGACCGACGTGACCTCAAGATGGCCCAAGAGGCCTCCAGGACGGCCCCAAAGAGGCCTCCAAGAGCACTTCCAAGAAGGCCCCCCCCGAGGCAAAAATCAAGGATTTTCTGTTGGTTTTTGGCGAATTTTGGGGTTCTCCTCTTTTCGGCTTCCCGACGCTCCAAGACGGCGGTCTTCCGAGCGTCCGAAGCCGCCTGGGAGGCTCCCAAATCGCCCCACAACCATCCGAAAGGGCTTCCAGGCAGTCCAAGAGAGCCCCAAAACGGCACAACACGGGTCCAAGATGGCCCTCAGAGAGCCCCATGGCGGCCAAAGATGGCCCAAAGACACCCTCCGAAGAATTCCAAAACGTGATTCGGTCGTTCAGGGAGACGGCGGTTGGAGGCAGGGTGGCCCGAGGAAGCCCCCGGAGGCCCCCAGAATACGCCCAGGAGGCCTCCAGAAGGCCTTAAGAAAGCCCGAAACAACTTTTGTGAGGCCCCTAGAGGCTCTCCAAGGAGGGACCTCCGCAAAAAAGAGCTGAGGAGGATGGGGAGAATGCGCAGGGTATGGCGAAAATAAGAAACAATAAGCGTGGAGGAAAGATAATGAATAACATCATTATAGCGGCGATGCCGGAAAAGGCAACCAGGAGTTATCGCTAAATTGTCGGCTTGACCTTCCTGCCATTCCGCCTGCATTCCAAACTTCAAGGACCAAGGTGCATGGCGCGAAGCGCCACTGCAGTCCTGTTTATATATATATATATATGTTTGACTGTGTCTGCAACGTCTCCCAGAGTCCTGCGCCAGGTAGGCAGCGCTTCGCACGCGCTGCCTCGAATCACCGCTCCGCCTCTGAGCCTCTCGATCACTTCGGCTCGGTGCGTGGCCACGCCCTCAGCGTGCGCTTGACGACGACTGCCGAGGACGACAGCAACGACCCGACGACGACGACGACGACGACGACGACGACGACGACGACGACGACGACGACGACGACGGCGGCGACGA